CTATATTCATGTGCTTTGCCCATTTTTGTATTGGGTGAATAGTATTTCTCTTTTAATTTGTAAGAGCAACTTTTATATTAATTAGATGTTCATTATATTGCAAACATGGAGAATTTCCAGTGGAGAAATTTTAAATGTTTGTGAGGTTAAAAATTTTACTGATCTTTGCTTTTACAGTTTCGGGCATTAGTGTCTTGCTTAGAATGGCTTTCCCCATTCCAAAAATTTAAAAACCATTTCCCCATGATCTTATTTAGTACTTCTATGGTTTTATCTCTGATAAACGTGGAATTTATTCTAGCATAAGGACCAGAGTAGAGATTCACCTTCATTTCTTTTCCAAATGGCCAACCAGTTGTCCTTACAACCTTTACAAAATATTCTATAAAATCGAAAGTCCTGGCCATTTCCCAGATATCTATGTGGTCTATTGGTTTTTACCAAAAATAGTGGTGGCCAATGCTAGCTCACTCTACTTTCGTTGGTCTTTTTGTGTTTACACAAATCGAGGTCGACATTAAAGAAGCCACTTTTTTCTTTTTCCTGATAAGAAAATAGAGATCCTAGGTTTGACATTCTAGATGGTTGTTAAAAATATATTAATTCCTATTCGTTGAATTTTCTGGAAAGGAAAGCCTTTTCTTGCCCAATATTCCATCATATGGGTGTGTGATAAGTTATGCAATCATTTTCCTTCTGTTGAATATTTAGGTGGTTTTAGATTAAGACTAGTCAGGTGCAGTAGTGAGAAGAGGAAAAGAGTAGAACACGGAGTTTGATCTGTAACTGTGAATAATCAGTTGAGATAACCCACTGCCTTTGGGCCAGCCCACGTTGATCATTCTTTTACATAGCTTTCATAATTCCCTTCAAGAGAATTTTGGAAGTGGGATTACTTAGTCAAAGTGTGTGAATATTTGAGAAGCAAATTGTTTACCAGAAAGACTTTATAAACTATTCTCCTTCCAGCAGATTGTTTACATGATAAAAACCCACCACCACCACCCTTTATTAAGCTCCTGTGTTATGCACTATTCTTTCATGATTTCTTCTAATA